AGGGCATACAGATACATAGATATCGTGAAGGAAGAATTCGTCTGATCGGTCGTAATCCTGCTGGCAAACCTCCTCTATTGACTCTATCAGACTGAGTGGGTAGGCCGCCAGAGGACGATCTGCGTTTCTCGAACCTCGATCGGTATCTTCCTCCAAACGTTTCAACGCCTTGTGCGGGACCACCGAATATGGTCGTCAGTAACCTTATCTGCAGGAATGGATGCGCATGTCGGATCGTCTCCGAATTGAGGCTGCTGAACTGCAGTTTTTTCAATGCCCTCGTCGCTGGAACCGATTTCAGTCAGAGGGAGTCAGGCTGGATCTCGAGTAGACAAGGCGATGGCGGCCGCATTGACCTTACGCGTGATCGTTCGGGCGAGTCAAAGCTGAGTCCGATTAAACGGAGATGGTCGCCGATCGTTTTCTGAGAGAGCCCTCGACGTTTTCAAGTTCCACTCCAACCTATGAGACAAGGTCCTTTAAAGAAATAGGCTGCTAACTTTCCATGTCTCCCCTGGAACGATCTGATGATGTTCTGGTCTGCCGTCGATTCGTGGAGATATTCTCCCTGTCGCCTATTCGAAAGACTCGCAAGCTGAGGACCTACAGAAGCTTCTCGATCGGCAGCAGTGCTCAAACATCACGAAGAGGTCTCTGGGTGGTGTTGAGGGCTTAATTCGGCTACTGGTTGGCCCTGAGTGAGGTATGGGAATCTCCGGGGAGATTTGGCTGCCGGAAGCCAGATAAAAATATAGTATGAGAAGAAGCTCCGAATCGCTCGAGAATCGTCTTTCGGTCACAAAGGAAAACTCCAGCGTACATACTCCTGCGCGTTTGGTTCTGACCTCGAGGGAAACGCCTAATTGGGGCAGTTTCCGATTTGTCTCCCCCCTGTGTGGGATACAGAGAGGGACAACGGAGGCTTCCTCAGATTCCGCTCCGTCCAACGTCGGGTGAATCGAAAGCGTACGTCGTTCTTACTGACGAATCGAAGCAGAGAGCGGGAGGGTGCGGAAAGCGCTCCAGGTCGCCCCCATCGCGAAATTCCGCTCCTCTGAGCCGGGTGAGAGGAAAATTCTTTTCAGGAACAGAGGTGCAGCTGAATTTCTTCCTCTCCGACGCTCTGTCCATCCCGGAGCGGTCGAATACAAATGTACAGCCTCTACGATCGAAATCCCCTCCGAGGAGGAAAACCCATTCCGAGGAGGGACCTCCAGCACGCGTGCTCTGTCCCGAACTCCATCAGCTGCTCAATTGATCTCCGAGTGGTGCCCTCACTGACGCTGGAACCTGCACACGCACTCGGGGAGAAATGCTTACGGAAGCGCCGCATATTGAAGGACGGAGGAATGAGCGGGCCGTGCCAGCTACGGGAACGCGCTGCTCGGATTGAATGGCGATGCGCACGCTGTTTGTTGGGGCCTGGTCGGTCGGCGATTACGCGTTATAGAACGCGTTGTTGCCGTTCTGCAGCGAGCTGACACGTTCCCCGCGGTTGAAGAAGTCGTGCTCCGCGCAGGGTAATCACATTTTGCTCGGATTTGATTGCATATGCAGGTCGAACGGTAGTGTCGACAGCTCGGTCTATCCGACCTCGGTGTGTTTCCAGGCGTTTTCCCTCATTACTCCGGATTTTTCCAGCTTTCGCAGGCTTGCCGTACCAATAAACCTTGTATTTACAGTCTGATTATGATCTTCCGCATCGCTGATTGAGGCAAGAATGCCGACTGACTTATAAGTTCCGTCTGCTGTGACCTTGTATTGACAAAGACAACACGGTTTGACGTCAGGGGAAAAGTCTGCGAAAGTCCGCAGACGTTTCACACGGTCTTTCCATTCGGTTGGAATCGACCGCAGTAAAGATCACAAGGTACGTGTGCGCGTGAGTTTCGCGGAAGGGGTTTCCCGCGTGGCGTCGACCAAGCCACTCCAGTCTCTGCTGTCAACCAGAATACTACGTACATTTATGAAAAACGATACATCCCCAGGAAATCCTGTCAGTCTGAAGCTCTTCGACAGGAGACAGGACTGAGGGAGATCCGACCGCTCGAGGTCGAGGGTTACGGACGCCGAGAAACATGTCTGGGCTCGCTCTCGAATCGGGAGTCTCGATGTTTTTCGGGATTTCCGCGGCAAGCCTCTGTTTTTCCCTCTCAGGCCTCCGCCATCCACCGCGGATGGATCCGGGTAGGCGATCCGGCTGCAGGGAGTCGGTCGCGTGTTGTTTCGGGATGTTCATGCCAGTTGGTGTTCTATTTCTCGGCCAACTGAATGCCATCAGTTTCGCACCAGCGATTTCTCCAGCACGAGGCTCGTCGAAGTCACTTCTTGATAGAGCTTGTACCGCCGACTTCGAGATAGCTGCAGGATCAATTCAGTAGCGATCTCCATCGTTCCGATAAGGAGTACGCTGCCTCGAATTGGAGAGTCCTCACGTTTTCAGACAGGAACACGCCTGTCAGTGCGAACGGGAAGCTTGTCTGGCAAGCTAGTCCCGGAGCAGCCCCACCCGGTCCCACATTTCTCCTCTACCCCGTCCTCAAACAGCTGAGCGCTTATTCCTTTGCCCCGCCGCTTCAAATCGTTTTCGCAAGTTTCCCTGTCATAGGGAGATAATATCCAGTTCCTCACGACCGAAGTTATGGGCGCTCCTTTGAGCTCCTTGAGGATTGGACAACGTTGCGAGCGATCCCTGATGAAGAGCTCCGCTATGTAAAAAAAAACGCATCTCCTCTTGAACCTGGAGTCAAACGATGGAAGGACACTGAAGCTGGATTCCAAGCTCGCCAGATATTTCCGTTGATCCTCTACGACCGAATTACATCGGAATATATCGATGCAGTTCGTCGGGATCCCATATGCGGAGCACAATATTCACTAATGACCCTCCTGGATCGAAAATCCTGGGAAAATGAGTCCGAATCACCACTCTGCATAGAATAGTTTACGGAGCTCTAATAGAAGACTCCGATACGCGGGACGCGAGCTCAAGGAAAAGACGCATCGACAATTGCAACGGAACTCCGATAATAGAGCTCTCGAGCTAGCGGTCGTCACGCTCATTCGGAGTCGCGGCATCATCGCGCTGATGAGCGAAATAGCGTAGGGAGGAGGCGGGATAATCACCGGCTTGTTTCGTATGTGTCGAAGTATCACGGACGCATCGCATCTGCCGAGCTGTGGGATAGTATGTAATGACTTCGGAATGGACAAGGAGAGCTTCCGCTCCCCATATCACTCGGAGCCTGCGGTAGTACGGGACCGCCGATCTTCATTAGCAGTACGCGAGAGGATTATTACGTTTTTTTCCCTCAACGACTTGGTGACTCGTTCAGCCTGTGGAGCCAATCCTGGAACGAGATGGTCCCCGCGGAAATATCTTCGGGAGCAAGCTCTCGATCAATGAGCTCAATCGTGAGTAGATCGAATCGATCCGGTCCACAAACGGATACAGGCCAAGCAACACCTCGCGTTCTGTCCATTAACCCAATCGATGGCGACGGACGCGCAATGCAGCTGTTTGCTGCGCACGTCGTTGCGGAAACCTAATCTGCTGAGTGATCCATATGTCAATTATTATAGGGGCTTGCAATCGGCACAGTATCGGTGACGTCCGCAGAGCAAGCAACAGCTAGGTGCTTCCATCGGTGGCCGCGGATTTTACATTACGCCTCACTCCTCGATGAAATCCTGAACAGAAGTTGGATTTCGGCTCACCATGGATTGATATGATTCTTTGGGAGGCCGGGGGATTTTAGCGGGAGGGCTGATTTGCCTATCGAAGTCTTTTCCCCACCACGCAGAGAATTCACTCGGAGCGAGTTACCGAAACCGGACCTTGTTCGGTTCTTGTAGCTCCCACGTAAAGCTGTGCAGACAAAGACAGCTGCATTTAATTGCTACCTGAAATGACAGGTCCTGTAAAGGAAGCTATATATAGTTTTCCGTTCTGTTCTTGTACCCCGGAACGGCGCTCTCGATCATGTGTATATCGGTGGGGTAGAGTGTGCATCCAGCTCATCCTGGCGATTGAGCTGAGAGCATGAGGTCCGAGCCTGAGCGCTTTGCCATCATACCGGAGGCCGCGGAGATTTACTCGGAAGTCTATCGTTAGGAACATTCCGAGCAGAACCGATTCATTTGGGTCGGTCACTCCGCATAGCAAGATGAAAACATACGTGAGCTTTTTCTACCGGCATTAGCGAACATCGTTTCCGAGGCGCGGAGTCGAGGAACTCATGATTTCATGCACCCGAACCTCTCGTTTATGGTCGCGTATTCACTGACTCCTCTAGTCGTCATGAACCATGAACTCGGAGGCCATGCTTGTCGCATGAAAGACCGTGAACGACCGCATAGCGCTCCCACAATATGAGCGTATTCCAACTTCCGCTGTAGTCTCCGCTTCACGGGGTCGTTGCTGGAAGACGATACGAAACTTTCGAGCAAACAATGGCGGCAGGAAATTAAATAGTTTGTCCGCACAAATATCCATCTACGCGGCTACGCTCCCGTGGAAAACGTATCCGCAAACTTCCCAAAGCATCGCGGACCAGAATTGAGGGAAAACTTCGCTTTCTTCGAGCTCCGAGCCTGAGTTCGGGTGAAACTGGAAGGTGTCGCCATGCGAGGGGCTCCGATCAGTTGCATGAAAATAGATCGGCTTCGACAATAATTTCACACAATCTATCCGCTGGCCCGGATCGCCCAAAAATATCACCGGATTCCAAAAGGTCACGCTGGAAGATCTATTCCATAGAGTTTTACCTGAAAAACGAATTCATAGAAATATTCCTCGCCAAATCCAAGCGGTATGAGCTCGAGCTATTGCCTCACCCGATCGCTTATCAGTTCTCGGTAGGATCGAATCGCCGAGCTGCAGGAGATTCAATCGACGATCACATAATTAAACACGCAAATAAGAGATTTAGTCAGCATCGACGAGCAGACGCTCGGTACGGAATCAGACGGAATCGCGAAGGCCTCCAAGCCCCACTAGGATGTCGAGATCTCTCCGACGCAGTTCGTCCCCGCTGCTGTGGATCGCGTTCATGAGTCACATAGTCTCGCATGTGAGATCCTAGGAATTATCAGATCATCGTGCCGGAGCTACAGTCATTTGTGATGTTGTGTTCACACGCTCGCGCAAGTTGAGTCGCTGCTCCAAATATGCCAGGCGCGTGGATAAATAATTTCTTTCCCCGCAGGCTCTGAGCTCTCCATCCCTGAATCCGGCCGAGCGTCCTACGGGCGTGGTGATTAACGCATCGCTCGTCCTTCACTCAATCAGCGATCCGGACAACGTGAACCCCGGATTTATCGTAGACTGCAGCTTAGTTCTGCATTGGGAGGGAAGTAGCGCTACCCGACGAGCGAGAACTCACGTTCTCGACTCCGATGACGGTGTTCCCGGGTGATCTACCTGGCTTGACATTTCCATTTCTATTTCAGATAGACTCCGAGCTCTGGGCACGGATGCGCACAATGATGTCTCGAGAGCAAATCCCACAAGTAGGCTCCTTGGGCTCGGTATTCATCCCGACGAACAAGGTGGAGTGGACGTCGGTGTCACGGATCCCGGGAGAAAATCAGATTCACAGGTTCAGAGCGTCCGGTCATTCGTATTGATTTTCCGGATTTTTTGGACAGATCCATCACTTTTGGTTGCCCGATCCATTCTTCGAGAATGCGCATCATGTGTCGATAGCCACCAAAGAAGTACCGACCAAGAACCTCATCATCAGACAAATCTTCGATGGGAGGGGAAATCCGGGAGCTTCTTTCAGTTACCACCTGAAGCAGAGGATTATCGTGCAATGCAACATGAATTTCGTGTGAGCTGAGGAGCCATCTTCGACTATAATTCAGTGTACGCTCCTCGACAGACCTCTGAAAATTCCCTATCGCCAGTCAGTATCCTGGAGACTCGCAATACTGTGAGCTGCGAGCTCGGAGCTTCATGTACCCTGCCGGAAGGGTCAAGGGTAATACCACGACAGTGTCGCGGGAGAGATGTCTGACTTTGAATTTCCCCGCCGAGAACCTGACCTATGAGGGTGAGCTGAAAGCCGAAGATTATCGATTCGATCTTTCCGCACCTCTTCGGACAGATTTAGCAACGGCTTGGTGAGAGAATGTCGCTCGAGCGCCCACGCTTCCACTATTCCAGGGAATGAGAGGCTGCTGGAAAATACAGTCAATGTGACACGGTGCGAATACAGGGGATACAGACGATGGAATGAGGAACTCTTGACTTTCGACGGTGAGTTGTCCAGAGCCATGGTTTAATATCGATTCCTTCGCGCCTCGTTCGACGATGCTGTGAGGAGGAATTACCTCTTTCGAGATCTTTGTCCCCAGGTGTCTGCGTGTCGATTACATTCCACCGTCAGATTTTCCACCATTTCATTTCGCATTACGTCCCATCGCTGCTCATCGTGATCGTTTCATTCGCCCCGGTCCGAATGAAACTTACCTCTAGCACTGACCGCATCAATGTTTCTGTCACCCTGCTCCAGGCGATCTTCACCGTTTTTATTCAAGTAGGCCATCCCCCCCCTTCCCTCCGCATGCAACTTCGAATCTCGAGATGGCCGTTTCGGCGAGCGAGTATCAGACGCCCTCTTGCGATTTCGCGAGAACCTTCGTCCTCAGGGTCGGCAAGGCATACCTCCGGTTCCGTACGCGACCGCAATGGACATCTACATGTACGTCTGCATCGGATTCGTCATCAGCTCAGTGGCGCAGAGCGTCTTGTCGAAGGGACTCTCCATCCGGGAAATTGAGCGGGTGAGTGAGTCGGTCTTGCTTTCCGCGGAGAGAAAAAACAAACCAACAAGTTTACTCGATCGAACGCAGAACAAAAATACGAAAGACGAGGGTGGACATGCCGTCGCACATGAGCTCCCGAGCATTGCTTTTTTTTGCTTTGTGAACTCTGCGGAAGACGACCGTCTCCTGAAGAGCGAGCATAGACGTCGACCACGTAGAACAAGCAAAGCAGGCAAACGGGCGAAACACCGTGCGCTCGAACTATACGGACAAGTAGACAGGAATCTGTTTGTTATTCTGAGCACGAGGATTCTCGCGATTTTTCAGAACAGCGGCCGAAGGTCCGTTCGGAATAGCACGGCGACTGCGGAACGCTTCGATCGGCATTGCGCTTGGCTGCTCCCCGCGTTCTTCGTCGTCTTCAACTTCGTCTACTCCGTAACGTTTCTGCCGTTATTCTAGTCAAATCCGAGGCTTTCACTCACGGCTGACTTGCTCTGAGCAACTCGGCCTGGCCCTAACCCTGCACCAACGAACCTCTGGCTCGATGTCGCGCTGTCCAAGTCGGCTTCTCGCGTGAGCAATGCTCATCGATCTCGACATATCCTCCGAGGTCCCTCCATGCGGGAAGGAAACTTGACGTCGGCGCACATCAATTTATCTCGAGCTGCTTAAGAATATCGATTGATTTTCCACCAGTCAATCTTTTTTATCAAATGTGGGATCTTACCAGGCAGACTCCGCATCGCCCCCCCTCTCGCCCCTTCTCCCAAGGAAACGTCATCCGCGTGACAATTGGAATGACATCGTCGACAACGAGACCGTCGGATGAGTAGCGGCGTTTTGTCCTTCGCGCTCAGATCCTGTATTGGATTTTCAAGCGGAAGAGTAGAGGCGGACGACGATTATCGGCCGGAGAGAGATGAGATCGCACGCGCGGAGCGAGAAGACGTGTATGAGAATGGCTACCGCGAGCGGGACGAGTAGAGAAAGAAGATGTATCAGAATGAGAGGCTGGGTGGGCGATTCGGGGAAAAGTCGATAATGGGGGAAACTTGCTCACGGTGGCGTCGTCCTGTCCAATGACGGTTTCAACAGGCAGTTTGACGGCCGCTCCTGCGTTTGACTCACTCACTCACTCTATAACTCGCTCTTCGGGGCCAACAGACCCTCTGAGCTACCAGCCGAACTTCCCTCTTTCGTTCCCGCACCGTACCGTCCGTCATCCTCAGTATTACTACACACATGATGATGAGCAAGAAGTCAGCAGAGGCGGCGGGGCGAAGACGCCAACTCATCTCGAGCGCTAATATGCATTAACTAAGTCGTCCGCCCCGTTTCGCAATCTGGCGCGACGTTGGTAAACGTTGCCTGCTAGGTATTTGCCCCCATCCCTTCGTACCTGTGGCCGGCCTGCTGATCTGCTCCTCGCGATTAGGACCCCGTTTCTCTCTCAACCGCTCGTTTGTCTAGATTCCGAACTTTTGATCCTTTCACAATTAGCTAAGCACCGTATAGCTCGTCTGAAATGGCTGTCCTGGTTTTCCCTTCGCAATGCATCCGCAAACGGAGCGGATCCCTGTGGAAAATTCGCACGAGCCGCGTGGAGTTCAGCGTCGCAACGACGCGCTTTTCCGAATTCTGGTCATTGCGGTGAATCCGCCGGGGTGGGCGCGCCAGGGACTCGTTCGGCGGCTGAGGCGCTCGAAAGAATTCCAGGTGGATGAGTGTACTGGAGCTCATCCGGACTTTCTCGCTCTAGCTTGGAATCGTAACAAAATCCAACTGAGCTCTTCCTGCCCCTCCGGCATTTGATGGCGGAGAGTCTGCGTGATGGCCACCTCGCTTTAATCCTCGTTTCATTGATCGCCGACGACGCTACCGTCGCGGGGACACAAGTTCTGCAATTCTGCATGCGAGGAGCGAAGCTCGCGGGCGAGCGGCCGGTCGGTCTCGCATGACTACGCCGGCTGAGCATGCGGGCTGGGAGGTGGTCGGGATGTTGAATCCTCTTGACGAGGAGCAGATCAGCGAGCGAATTGCTCAGGTCGTTATGACTCTGGGTTTGACGGATATTCTCGCCGTGGACGATGAAGCACTCATGGGGGAGATGTCTGAGAAGATTTGGTCGAGATCGTCGAAAGTTACGTTGGCATTTTATGCATTGGAGCCAGCTGCATCCAATAAGCATCCTCGGATCGAAGGAGGACTCCCCGCGCCGGCCGTCATCAAAGAGAAAGAGATCATTCCCATGTTCGGGTTAGTAATATCCGCCGCCGGGTTCAAATAGTGGGTGTGTCAGTCGCCTCCACAGGTGAGTCGGACGAATTTCCGGGAGAAACTTCGGCGACTTGAAGCGGAACGGGTTTCTTCCCGGATTGCTCCTACAGCAGTTTTGATCTGTTCACCGGAAGACGCTGCGGGGAATGCGAGAGAGCCTCTCCGTCCCAGTCTGTGAGAGTCCGGAGCTGTTTCTCTCGAGCTATATTCCCTCTGAAGAATCCAGCACGGAGACAACTTATCAATGGCGGAGGCGTTGCCTCATCGGTTTCCAGTTGTCGATGTCGAATCGCTATACCTTTGGAGGCTTCGTTTCGAGGCTCTTTTTTCACCGCCCCGCAGAGGGCAATGAGCGCCATTTCAAGCTACTGGATGAGTGATTGTGATTGTCTTCGTCTACGTTTCGCGTCCTCGTACGGAAACTGACGGAGTTCCTCTCCACGCGATTCTTCTTCGAACTGATTTCTTTTCCGTCGTCAGGTCTCAATCCATGCAGCGATAATGAACATCCAAGATCGAACGTACCCTGTCAGGGTATCAACGTTTCTCTGAATGAAGCCGTGCGAGTCTACGCAGGAGTGAGAGTTTTCGACAGCGCACGTGCTCGTGACAGATGTGAACGGGATCTCGCTCGATGGAATGAGAGTCAGGGCAACACGCGGAAATCGGGCTAGCGTATGGAACAAACTCAGAAACAGCTGTACGCTTTCATTGGCACTGGCGGAGAGGGGGGAGGTCGGCAGGGGGTAAAGGGGGTACCCAGGATTCCTAGCAAGTCAAGCGAGCGGGGAGCCTTTAGTTGCATCAGTGCGATCCTCGGGAAGCCCTCCCGTTCGACCGTTGGCTCGCAGACGTCGGCGATGGGGAGAACAAAAGAGCAGCAGAAGCCAGTCAGTAAGCCCGTCCGTCCGTCAATCATCGTCTTTCGTCGGTTTGTTTCGATAGTGAGAGCCCGGCGCCGATACCGTGCTCGGCAGGAGCATCGAGAACGGCAGCTATCGTGACGCTACAAGCGACGACATTCGACGTCCTGCTTCACTGGCATAGCCATCGATTTCTCCAAGCAGTGAGCTCTTTCCTGTCGTCTGTTGCTAGGGACTTCTCGCTACGGGAACATGCGCCACAGCCTGCGAGTCCGTCGAGAGAAAGAAACTAAGGACCCAATCAACGGAAGCAGAGAACGGTGCCACTACTAATTTACTCCTCGACGACTAGACGAGCGTGTTGCACGTCTGCGTCACGGTTCCGTTGTCGTTGGGCGTGGATCGCGTCGTGGCCGATGGCGTGCCTCGAGCTAACAATCGGCTGGAAGATCCCGCCTGGCGGAACCCGCTCAGAACTGATGATTCACAACGTGACGCCGGGCGAAGGCGGCGGCGGCGGCGTTCACATGCGCGAGGTACCCAATCCTTCAGGGAAAAGCAAAATTCCCGGAAGGGGGGAAGAGATTGAAAACGTCCGCACTCCCGATCTACCCGAGAACACGATCTTTTGCGTGTAGGGATCGTCACCGGGAGCGTGCCCGGCTTTCGATTCGGGCCCAGTCGGGTTCTGCAGGGGGCAAGAGCTGAAAACGATGACGCGATTTCTTTCGGCCAGCGTTTCAATTGGGGCCGGCAATTCCCAGAGGGCACCCTTCTCGATCGTCCAGAATGGGTATCTGATTTTGTTCTGGAGTAGAAGATCGACACGGAACTTACTCTCACCACGTGTCACCACCGAATCAATTTTCCGTCTTGGGCTAGGGAATTACGCGCCTCTTTCGGTCCCACGGGAACATTTACCGCGGCGACGAGCCACACGGAGTGAACTCGCTCCCCCGAACTCTAGCGGGACCGAGGGCACGAACAAACGTTGCCGAACTAGAGAAAAACGAAGCAGAAAAAAAAGGGGGCGGCGAGAAGACGAGGTGCGATAAAGAGCTTAATTTTAACGCTACGCTGACTTCTCTATTGGACTGTGTCTGTCTTTGGCGTCTCCTAGCTCTTCTTTTTCTCGGTATCTCCGAGAGAGGAGGCGACTCTACGTCTCCCTCGGTGTCCTCTTCCTATCGCTCACTCAGAACTAGTGAGCGTGCAAGCGAGCGGGCAACTTGTCTTTCAAGCGAGCTGGCCTTCCGAACCTCCGCCGGCGTCTCTCCTCGCCCGTCGGCTTTTCCGAAAAGCGTCTTCGCTGTGCCGCCGGAAAAGCGTCTTTTTGCTTCATTTTGCCCAGCGCTCTCTTCGTCCAACCCGAGAAACAGAAGCAACAGACGAAGCCAATGGCGACGAAATATCTTTTACAGGTGAGGCAATCGGACCGGTGAGCCAGACGCCGCCAATGCGTTTTCCTATCTCGGATCTAGCGAGCGCTACGCCAGCCTCTGATATCTAACCTCTACGGGGAATGGCAAACGTCCGATGCGAGCGAGAAGCACCAGTGACCAACCGTACGGCGGATCGAGATACAACGATCATTCCCTTCGTGCATAGAAACACAATTACCCATCCGTCTGACCGAAATCGCTCCTGTGAGCCTATCGCTGTGTTCCGCGATTGCGACCAGTCAGCGAGGACGGATGATACATCAGTATTCGGTGCGTTTTGAACAAATACGAAGCAAGTCCTGGGGTGAGCGAGAATGCCCAACCGAGATTATTACAAATTCCGTTCTTGTAGCTCATCCATGGGATAAGAGGTGCGAATATTGAATCTTTCGATAATCGCAACCACATACTAGCTACGTCCATCCTGGTGGATCTAATCTATCAAATGGAGGAACTTATGAATGTTTGTGGATCTGGATATCTCGCCTGCATACGGAGAGTGCGAGAGGACCAGAACGCGAGCGGCACGGTATCCGAATCGTTGAGATCCCTAGTGGTGTGCCGGATGAATCCACAGGCGAACCCCTGACCGCCGATAAGCGAGTCGTCATCGGGGGTGCGAGAGGGAGAAAAAACAGGTTTTTGCCCGATCGCTTCCGAGCTCATATTCAATGCTCCGTCGGTTCTGGTGGTCTGCTCATTCCGTGAATGCGAGCAGACGGGGAAAATAAAGATGAAGCGCGCGGAGGAGGGAGAAGTGGAGAGGAGCGGATAGTATGATATTATTTCAACTCAGCCAGGTGAGGTCGTCAGATATGCGATGTACGAATGGGGCAGCTATACTCGAGAGCTTGTTCGCTCCCCGCCCCTGCATCCTCATGCTGGCACAGGTGGCTCGTAACAGATAAGAGATAACACAATCGATAAGGGCGTATCTGGCATTCGGAGGTTGTGGGATCGAAATGGACCGTCAGGGTCTCGGTCGGCCCTTATCTCTCGCAGAGTCCGTCCGCGCCGCATGTGGGATTGCTCAGCTGAGTAATCGTGCGTTCAAATTACCTCGGACCAGCGCTTCAGATCAAAAGCAGTCGAGCGGCCGCTGAAGGATTCCAGAGAAAGGAAACAAGACGATCTCTTGGCTTTGGAGAGACCCGCCTCTCGCAGCCGAGTCTGTTAAATAGGCGAGAGGAGCGTGACGGAATCGCCGTGCCATTGCTCTCGTGCCAAGCCTAAGTGAGCACAACTGGCAGCTGGCGTGACGACTCGCGTGTCAAGCCTTGCCAAGACTGGTAGTTGCGGCCGCCGTCAAATGAGCTCTTTCTCGGCGGGCTCATTGAGGACTGGCATTACGCAAATCGTTCCGAATGCAATTTTCACACCGAGGAACATTGGCGCAAGCATCCTAATGACGTCTGCCCTGTCTAAAGAAGATCTGCCTGGGAAAGGAATTTCCCTTGGTCTCGGGCTTCTCGTGGAAGCCAACATAATAAGCATTTTTCCTAACTAGAAATTATATAGGAAATAGGTAATAATCTTTGAAGTGACAGCAGCATAAGTACAATACGGATGTTCCCCCTACCTGCTTGTTTTAGACGTCAGAAGTGTAAATCCGCATCGAATCGGACGTCCACATCGACATCTGAGTGAGTGCAAAGTTCGAATCGTCCGTGGGTTCGAGTCACTGAACCAGTACAAGGTTACGGAGTGTCCCGATCGGAGCTTCTTGACACTACAATGATGAATGAATGATGGACTCGACTCCGGGGGAGAGTCCACGAGCTCTCGAGTTGCTCGCCCGCGTTCTGGAACGCATGGACTTTCTGTATTTTCGTCTGGACATTGGAACCGAGCTTCTGGCGATTCAGCTTCTTTTCTGGAAAGGTTTCGAGCCCCATCCGGCCCCGAGATGCACACGCTTCTGGTTCCGTCCCCCACTGTCCGTCGGAGGAATATGGCTCAGTGCACCACCATTTTCCGCCTTCTTCCGCTGTCAAGAGGAACGCACAAAATAATACCGTGCCGCGCCGCTCCGCAGCGTACTCAAAAGATGATATTTTACTATCAATATTCGTGCTTTTCGTTTGGAAGTTGGAAAGTCAGGGAAACGGATACGCTGCTCCGGATCCCAGCCCGGTTGGAAAGAAAACCAGGGGGGGAGTAGAGCCTCCCATGTCCCGAGAATAGTCGCTCGTGTCACGAGCAGCATGCGAGATCCTGTTTACACTGAGCAGTGAGGGCTGCAGAATCGTCGCTCGGATTCGTCTCCGGATGCTCTAGCGCCTGCGAGAGCAAATTATCCGATGCCATTGAGCTCGAGCGGAACCGAAGTTGTGGTCTCGTCGAGATCCATTGTGCTTTTCTTGAAGTCAAGCCTCCGACTGCCGTCCCTCTGGACACGAAGTACCCATGGAGAACATCTATTTGCTCGAGATGGGAATGCTCGCGACTGCGGAAGGTGAATGAATGGCGCACCGCGACAGCCTTCGGCATCGAAGTCGTTTTTCTTGCGTCTGAGGAACCCATTTTCCCGTTTTCCGAGATTTTCCGTGTTTCGTATATCGCCGACTGGAAGTCTCGCCGACGCGCCACGAAACCGCGTGATGATGTTCCAAACGAAATCTGAATCTCAATGACTGGCGGACGGACGCGCTCCCTGGAATGCCCGAAAGCTGGGAAGGCTCTCGTCTTCTTCATTCGAGAGTTCA